GATTTATAATTCAAGTTCTATTCAGTTGCTTAAGTTTTAAAACCAACTCTTTCAAGTTGATTAATTATTTGTTCTCAATCTAGTCTCAACAAGTTAAAAAATTAAGTTGTATGTTAATTAAATTTGATCTATAATTAATCCAATATAGCTCAATTTGTTTGACAATAAAAACAAATGAATTAATTCTACTCCATCAATTTCTTGACCCTTTACCTTTATATGGTTGGGGGAATAACTGATGAAAAAATAACAAATTGTACACCACAGATAGGTATGGCTTGTAACATGCCAAGGCAAAACATGAAAGAGCAATTTGCTGAATATTCCATTGCTTTTCCTATATAAAAATAAATGATAGCAAATGCTCTGAGAGCATATCTATTCTGCTTCAATAAAATGTCCATATTACTGAAGAAAAATGCTAAAAAATTTATTATTGCTCCTGTAGAAGATTCTCCTAGGTCCTCAAGTCACTGAACTCTGATATCAACAGACATCTAACTCCATTTCAGCAGTTAATGTCTCTGGATGCAAGCAGCATAATACAAGCTCAGCTATGGGAATATAGGGACAGTATGAGTACTAGTAGGCACTGATCAATGAGAAAAGAGTGAAATTCTTTACCTCTATCCTCTTGTATAGACAACAGCAATATAAAGATAGGGATAGCAATATAAACATTTGTTTTCATCACAGGCAAATCTCTAAGCTACTGTTGCCACATTTGAGATTGTGTCATTTCAATTTATATAAGGCAAAGAATGAAAAAGAAAGTTTACCATTTCTCGTTTGATCAACTATCCAAGAACAAAGGAAACATCTTCAATATTGTAAAAAGCCTTTGCAACAACATGGATGGAACTGGAAAGCATTACGCTGAGTGAAATAAGCTAGGGTTGAAAGACAAATACCATATGATCTCACCTTTAACAGGAAGCTAAACAACAAAACAGACAAGCAAGCAAAATAAAAACAATGACACTGAAATAGAGAACAGGGGGACAGCGACCAGAGGGGAGAGGGAAGGGAATTTAAGGTGAAAAAATGGGAGGGATTTAGAGGAACAAGTATAAAGGACACAGGGACAATAACTAAGGGGGGTGGAAATGGGAGGGATGTGGGGTGCATGGGGGAGGGGTGGGCTGGGATGGGAGAAATAAACAGCAAACTGTACTTGAAAAATAACTAAATAAAAATTAATAAAAAATATTGTAAAAAGCATAAAAAATTTATATGGTGAACACAAGAAGATCTTTTTAAGAAAGAGTATTGGTTAAGTTCTTTGTTATGTTATGAGCCTATTTAAAAAATAAAAAAAATCTTTAACCTTGATTTATCATAATCTCTAATAAATTAAAAATATATTTATCCCTCATTGGAATTTAATGTTATTATTTTGCAAAAAGAAAGTGCCAGTATTTTTCTAATTGTTTCTCAGATAATTTGTAAAAATCATCAATGCTATGATGCATTTTAGGAGTACAATGTAGAGAATACACACTCATTGCATTGTCAGATTTTTTTAATCTTCCTTAATGAATTATTAATTACATTATTCAAAAGATCCATTATTCAGCATTCATCTCACTGCTAAATGAATGTCTTTATCTGACATATGAATGAAATGAATCTAAATGCTTTTCATGCCACCTAGGGATTCTAAATAGACTTTTTAGCTTCACCGCAGCATTAGGTTTCATTTCTCTTTTTTAATTTATATGGATTGTTTTTAGAGATGAGTAGCTTCTATGTTGTAGTCTACAAATCTGAACATCATTTGATTTCTGTGTCCTCAGACTTACCTTGAGCAAGAAAACTTCAATAGGGTCAAAAGATACCTTAAAGAAAAAGAAATGCCACACAAAATTCGATAGCATGTATAAAGACTTTAGGTGAATGTTTGTATAACCTAAAACATTGACAATTTCAGATGAGGAAAGTGAGCTTCCAAGAAGCCCTTTGTAAACTTTATCCCTGTCATTTCTCATTGTGAAAAAAAGTGCTATCCCTGCCTGGTGTAACTCAGTGGATGGAGTGCGAGCATGCAAACCAGAAAATTGTGGTTTGATTCCCAGTTAGGGCACATGCCTGGGTTGCAGGCCAGTTCCCTGCAGGCCAGTTCCCAGCAGGGGATGCACGAAAGGCAACCATATATTGATGTTTCTCTCTCTCTCACCTTCCCTTCCCCTCTAAAAATAAATAAATAAAATCTTTTTTAAAAGTGCTAGGTACTATTGTAAGAGGAATTCAAAAACCCTACAACAGATAAGAATTTTTTGTATGACTTCACATCCTTGTTTCTACTGTTGAATTGACAAATATTAACAAAATTTTCTGGGTGTCCAAGTCCATCTACAAATACCATTTTTGAGAAAACATGTTAATAGTTTATGATTCAGAACTCTCTTTGAGGATAGGAAAAACTACCTGGGCAGAAAATCACTATATTTCTCTTCCATGATGATTGTTATTATAATCACTGCCACTGTAACCACAGAACAACTTGGTCCAAAATTGCTAAATGCAGTGAAAAAAATACATAGAAGAGTAATTTCAACACAGAATTATTCAAAACACAGAAGGGTTGCTGTATCTTTAAGGAAAATGTATATTAATGTTACCATATTAACATCAACTGCATATCCTTAAAAATCAATAAGTATACACATTTTTAAATTTTTATTTTTATATATTTTTAGAGAGAGGGGAAGGGTGAAAGAAAGAGAGGGAGAGAAACATCTATGTGCAGTTGCCTCTTACATGGCCCCCACTGGGGACCTGGCCCACAACTCAGAAATGTGCCCTGATTGGGAATCAAAACAGCGACCCTCTAATTCACAGCCCATGCTCAGCTCTCTGAGCTACACCAGCCAGGGCCAGTATACACATTTTTAAAGCAAATGTCTATTTATTTTTAAGGAATACAGAAAAAATGGCAATCCATAATAAAATAAGAAGGTGTACCAAAGAAATGGAACACCATTAATTCACTAGAAATTATAGAGATTTATCTTTCCCATTTTTGACTAAAATTAAAATTTAAGGTTTTGATTAAGATAATCCAAGTTTAAGATTATTACATGAAAGGAGGGTCCAATCTTAAAATATATTTCTATTGGCTCAGAGGTGACAGTAACACCATAGCCTTGGAGTTGTTCTGACTTCAATCCCTCCCTGAAAGAAAAGAGGAGTGGAAGGTTAATTTCTGCTTTAGAATTAGCCTCATTGTACTTCTTGCTAGAAACATATGCCCACTTTAAAATCATTAAGGTGAGGCATTATTTAATTAAACACCTGGTATTTCCTGGTAGGAATGCAATACTTCCTAACTACAGGAAGGAAAGAGAAGAAAGGAAGGAAGGAAGGAAGGAAGGAAGGAAGGAAGGAAGGAAGGAAGGAAGGAAGGAAGGAAGGAAGGAAGGAAGGAAGGAAGGAAGGAAGGAAGGAAGGGTGCAAGGGAGAGAGAGAGGGAAGGAGGATACATACTGTAGAATATATATGAAATATCAGGGGAAAGCCCACATTAATCTTCTTCTATGATGGGCAATGTGTGTGTGATTGCAGCTCATGGGGACTTGTACCAATTGAGCATTCTCTGACAAGGCCCCCAGGACAATCCATTCTAGCTTCCTAGATTAGAAATCCTCAGAATAAAAGGTTAAGTCGATAGAAAACTTCTGTTATGAGTAAAAAGAGAGAATTTGAAAATGAATCAAATGGGTCTAATCAGAACAAACAAATTTTACATAAAGATGAAGCAGCAGGTAACTTAATAGAGCATCTGGGTGCTCTAAGCTGCTAAGTCAATGAAATAAAGATCAGCACACAACCTATTTTCACAGTTGGTGCTGCATTTGTTAGGAAATAAGTTCCACGGTAAAAGATGTGATTCTCTGTCATGACAGCCTTTGTTATTTCACGGAAGAAAACAAATCAGACTTCTCTCCCAGACATTTACCCACAGCCTGGCTAGACTGTCTTATGTTGTGCTGCCTCCATTCCAATGCAGGTGGAAAATAGACCTTAAAATAAATGAAGCAGACAAAGAACTTGACAAGCATCTGCCCACGACATATGAACATTTGTAGAAAATAAAAAATGTATTTAGTAGTAAAAATCAAGACTGTTTAAATTAAGAGTGCTGAGGGAATAAATAAGCCCCCATTTGGTGTCTGGCATTTTACAAGGCTCTGCACAATTCTTTTTTCACCTGCAAAAAAATCCACATTTGTCTCCACTACTGCCAGGAAAAAATATCCTAGTGAAGCTTATGAATAATATTGAAAAGTAAAAAAAGCAACAACTATTTAATTATCTATTTCTTATAGTCATAAAGACCCATGTTACTTAAAATCCCAAAAGAACCTTCCCTGCCTTCCCTCAGAGCCATTGTAAACCTCAACTATTACTTATCAGTTGTACTTATTACTTTGCAAATGTCATTCTATTATATTTTAAAGAGGTAATTTGCAATTCCCTGTACCATTCATAGGTGCCTCTTTTTGAGTCTCTTAGAAAATTCGTAAAATAATAATACAATGTGTTTTTATGTGACAATTTCATTTATTTTTTAACCAGTCATTGCTAAACTTTAACCTTTTGATTGTTTACATTTTATATATCTATTAGGTGGAGTAGTTGCACTTTAAATATTTTAGTTCTCTGTACTAATAATAATAAACAGGAATAAGAAAAAATGAGACTTCTTTGATAAAGCACATTTCTTCAAAGTGTGATTAAAATTTTGTTCTCTAGTTAAAAAAATAATAGCCATTTTCTATTTGTCCTTTTTCATTTCCATTAAACAATCCTTGGATTTCATATGGAGAAAGGTTTCTTTTTTTTAACTCTCACTAAACAAGCAAGAATTTGAACTCCCTCCTAATTTGATTCTATTGGCTTATAATATGCTAATGTACATCAAACTAACATCAAAGTATGTCTCCTATTTTTGGTGGCAATTGTTTTGGATTAACATATTTTTATATATTTTTATCTTTCAGGAGAGTGCACAAACACAGTCCCCCACTACCATGAAATTATGCAATCAAGGTTCCTACATCTGGATAAATCACAGGGATCAGCACATCTGGAGTTCAGTGGATAAGCCTTGTCCTGGGAAAACAACCTTTATGATCATGGCATCATCACCCCTGCCAGGAAAGTATTAACATATTTTTATATTATGGCAGTCAAAAACTATTTCAAATAGCTTACATATTTAATTAAATGATTCTTCAGATTGTTTTTTAGTACTCTGTGTAGTACCAGTGGAATTTTCAATTCCTTAACATTTCTGCTATTTATTCTGTATTTTTTATAAAATTGTAAGACAGGAGTGAGTATTTCTCATAGCCATTAAGTTGTTAAAGGAGTTGTACACCAGAGGTGATCCTGAGAGTTTAAACTTAGAATTATTAATAGCTATAAACTTGCTTGTTCAAGCCATCTAACCTTCTTAGCTGGTTAAAAGAGTATAATCCTCTAAATTATTAAGAGACCTTTAAAGTAAAACACAGAAACCCAGCCATTTCGCCTGTTTTAAAAATTCTCCTTGACTACACAGACCAAATCACAAGGCAGTGTGGGCTTAGCCCTATCTGTGTTGTAAGCAATGAATTACTTTACTTAAACTTTGCTCCAGTCTGGACATTTTAGGACTTAAAATCTTGAAACCATCTAAGTTCGCCTGAAATTAGCCTCGCAAAAACACTCCAAACTCCAGTTGTTGGCCTCGTGGCTTTTGGCCAGATGCCACTTAGCAGCTGAAATACTGATTAATTGTCATCCTCTCCTTCTCTTTTTCATCCTAGACATGGTTTAAAGAAAAAAGAATATGCTAGCTGATATGTTGAGAACAACTATAGTTGAATATGTTACTTATGAGATATATTTTATCTTTAAAATATATGAAACGAAAAGACAGGGCAGGGAATCTAGCTTTGTATACTGTGTATGTCATGTACTGCACAAGGAATCTGGGGCTGGCCAGGGGCTTAGCTGAGCCATGCCAAGATACAAAAGGTTTTTCAATTTTCCAGCAAACAGAAACAAAATACAAGTTTCAGAAGGTGTACTCAACAAACACTCCCCAATGTGTTTCTGATTTGTGGTCAGAATGTTTTTATTGCTGGTGCCTTGCACTTTTGAGACACTTATTTCCTAAAAGAAAGATTCCTTTTTATAAACCTCAACTGTCTGTTTTTCAAAGCAATTTAAAATCAAACACACAAATAAAATTCTTAACATATGGAAACCTTCATATAGGGTCTTACGTATTCAGAGCTAAAATTGTTTTATAAACTGTAATGCTTTGCAGATGAAAATACAGAAAGGATGATTGTTTTTAGCACTAATGCCTTTTGACAGCATTAAACCTTGTTTTAGTAATTGACATAAAAATGTTTGGTGGTTTTAAATGGACCATTAATAAAAATAGTATGTTTCAGTTTTTTTAGAAATTGTGCTTAATACTGTGAAATGCCATAAAATTGCAAATGTAATACAGTGTTTTTATTATTTAAAAAATACTTATAATGAAACAATTCTCATTCTCTTCCCATGTCTCTAAAGGAACTTCTGAGACTCAAAGAAAGAAAATATTTCCTCTTCATCCATCCTCATAGCCTCCAGAGAAATACACCTTATTCCAGTTACCAGTTTTGAAAAAGACAAAATAACAAAACAAAAACAAAATTGGCATCTTCTGCCATGAGGGCTCTAGAATGTTGGTAAATTCCATAGAGGCGTAAAAATATAATCAAAGGTCTCCATCATGAGCTGGAAAGTATATGCCAGAGACATGAATTTCACACCAGTTCCATCACAAATCACACTGCATCCAGGAAACCACTAAAACTTCTCTGGGCATCAACTCATTTCTTTGCAAAAATAGGAATAATAATATTATCTGCAAACATAGAAAGACTGCTGGGATAATCTTATAAAGTACTGTATGTGAAAAGTCTTTGTATTGAAAGAAATAATTATTCAATTCTATCTAATTCAACAATCATCTACTGAGTACCATTTAGTTCTCATCCACACTGCATTGGAGAGAAGAAAAGGATATGAAAGTTATGGATCTTACTGACCAAAAAATACTAAGAACAAACTGGAATGAAAGAAGAAAATGTGATGGAGATGGGATCAGAGAATTATCTGGTTCTGAGAGAGCAAATTTGAGAGAAGAAATGAGGGCAGGAAACTGCACAGTGTGTTTCTAGAATTTCAAATGATCTAGCATTACAATATGAAAATCAATTGGTAAATAGAAACAAACATATTTGGGCTTACAGCATGTGAAGGATTGCTTTAAAAGTTTGTTATTTGTTTGTTCATTTAATAAATATTTATTGAGTGCCTGTCATAAAACAGGAACTATACTAGTCAGTCAGTAAACAAACATGAACTAGCGAGACCTATAGAATAGGTCCTGACTTCATTGTGCTCACAGTCTAGAGTTAGAGACAGTGGGCCTAAGCAGGAAATTGGCAAGTATAATTTACACTTTATATTGACTACTCTGCCATAAGTTTAAAGGGTGGGTTCTATGAGATAAGAAATGGAGATTTATGTTAGTGTGTGGGCCTTTTTTTCCCTCTGCTTCTGGGGGCCTTCTTGCCCCTTTCCTACTTAGTTTCTAAGCCTTTACTAATTGGGCAAAAAACCTGAACAGACACTTCTCCAAGGAAGACATACAGAGGGCGCCCATAGACATATGAAAGAATGCTCAACATCACTAGCCATCAGAGAGATGCAAATTAAAACCACAATGATATATGACCTCACACCTGTTATAATGGCTATCATTACTAAATCAACAAACAACAAATACTGGTGAGGACACAGAGAAAAAGGAACCCTAGTACATTTATGGTGGGAATGCGGACTGGTGCAGCCACTGTGGAAAACAGTGTAGAATTTCCTCAAGAAATTAAAAGTGGAACTTATTCTTGATCCAGAAATTCCACTGCTGGGATTATACCCTAAGAATTCTGAAGCACCACATCAAAAGAACCTATGCACCATAATGTTCATAGCAGTATTATTTACAGTAGCTAAGTACTAGAAACAGCTTAAGTGTCCATCAGTAAATGAGTGGATTAAAAAACTGTGGTACATTTACACAATGGAATACTATGCATCAGAAAGAAAGAAGGAATTCCTACCCTTCATGACAACATGGAAGGAACTAGGAAGTATTATGCTAAATGAAATAAGCTAGGAATGAAAGACAAATACTATATAATCTCAACTATAATGGGAATCTAATAAAAAAAACAAACAAATGAGCAAAATAGAACCAGAGGCATGGAAATGAAGAACAGACTGTCAGTGACCCAAAGGGAGGTGGGAGGAGGATAAGGGAGGAAAGAAGGGGAGGGGCCTAGTTAAAGAACAAGTATAAATGACCTATGGACATGGACAACAGGGTGCAGACTGACTTAGGGAGTAGAGGGTGGGAAGGCCAGGGAGAGCAGCAACAGGGGAAATTTGAGACAACTGTAATAAAACAATTTTTTAAAAAGTAATAAGGAGATAAATGTACCTTGGTGGATGTGATGAAGACAGCAAGAAAAATTTATTTTTGGAAATGGGTAAATTAGGTAGTTCTATGGGAGATAGGGGAGAAGGAGAGCAGTACCACTGAGTATATTTTGAAAATATAAAAATATATTGAGAATATAAAGAACCACTGGGTTATACCTTGAGAAGTTTAAGTTAGAAATTAAGATACTGGGAAGAAAGTAATTTTGAATGACCAGCTAAAATCCATGTAAAGAACAGGGTAGATGAGATTAAAAAAAAAAAGAATTATTTAAAGGGTTCAAATAAAGGCAAACAGTAGCCCGGATTATTTTTGAAATTTTACTAGAAAAACAAAGGAAGAAAGAACATAGTAAAAATAATGTAGAGGTTAGAATTGTGATTTAGGGGAGAATGTGCAGCTCTAGAATTGGTGTTTCAGGCTGAGTTGCAGACATATATGTTTGCTAAAATGAAAAGGAGTATATAAAGTTTCCTTGGGAATTTATTAGTCAACAACTACTGTGGTACATTAGAGATAAAAACAGAGATCCTACTCTCAAGAACCTTGCAATTTTACAGGACTGATAAATGTAACATATTTGTAAAATAACATTAAGTACTATTAAGTAAACATGACTAATATTAATTTGCTAGCATAAGCATGGGATCAGAAATTCACTGCCATGGATCAGAGAAAAAAATCAATGTACTTCATGATTAGAACATACTACTGAAATTCTGTAGGAATGGCAGGCATCTAAGAGAAAGAAATGTTGATATCTGATAAACACCCAAAAGATCCCACACTGAATGTTATTCATGTACTCAAGGCCATGAGTATCTCCATTAGGGTGGTAGACAGTCTTGCAGTAATTATAAATCAGGGTAGAGAATATACCAACCTCCTATGTCAAATTTTTAATAATGCACCAACCAGCAAGAAAAATGTTTCACCTTAAAAAAATTAGTTTTGAAAAACAACCATTGTGATCCACACCCAAAGGAATCAAAAGAGTTTGAAGAAGGCCCTTCTATGAGGATGTGTGATTTTTAAAAAAATGAACAGCTTTATCTTTACCTTAAAATGGAGTAGTTTCTAGTTTACTCACTGTTGGTAGTTTATTGATCAGCATTAAGAAGGAAAAAAAGACAACCATAGCTGCTCCCAAGAATGGAAATAGAATCAATGAAGTGCTACAGGCATGCTTACCCTCTCTACATAAGTCCTCAACAGGAGAGTTTGTAGTATGTATAGTTAGGTGCCTTGGTCCTTTCAGGCTGCTATACCAAGGTACTACCAACCAAGTGGCTCACAAACAACAGAAACTTATTTGTAAGAGTTCTGGAGGCTCTAAGTCTAAGATCAGAGTGTCAACATGCTCAAGTGCTGGACAAACCCTCTTCCAGACTGAAGACTGCTGACGTTTCCTCACATGGCAGAAAGAGAACAATAGAACACTCTGGAGACCTTTCTTAAATGCACCTGTCCCATTGATGAGGGCTCCACATTCATGACCTAATTACCTTCCAAAGGTCCATGTTCTAATCCCATCATTGGAGGTTAAGATTTCAACATACGAGCTTGGGGGGACACAAACATTCAGTCCATGTCATCAGTTTTTCCATTCTCTGTGAG